GTATGAAGCCACCCAACCCTGTCTCTCAGAGCCCCGTGTCCTCCTCCTGTCCCAGCCTGACACCCCAATGCCCTGTTGCAGATGGCCACTCCATCAGCGTGGAGGGCATCCAAGCTCTAGGCGCTGGGAACCTCATGATCTCTGACGTGTCAGTCCAGCACTAAGGTGTCTACGTCTGCACCGTCTGCACCGCCAATTGGCTGGGCACCTGCCTCCAGCGCACAGCGCAGGGTGTCCTGCTGGTGCAGGGTGAGTCCCAAGGGCCTGACTGGGTGGGGAGGGAGCTGGGGCACTCCAGCTCCGTGACAGGAGCCTGGATCTGGAGAGGGTCCCGGGCAGGAGGCAAGAGGCCGGGTCTCAAGGTGCCCTCCTTCTTGCTATTGCCTGCCCAGCTCCCCTGAGTTTGTCCAGTGGCCACAGTCCTTTTCCAAGCCTCTGGGCAGTAGTGCCATCTTCACCTGCATGGCCCAGGGAGTCCCTGAGCCCCGTCTGGTCTGGCTGAAGAATGGGAAGGTGCTGAGTCCTGGGGATAACATCAGGCTGACTCAAAACAAATAGTGGTGGTACTCGTGTCCCACCACTCCCCACTGCCACTGGTACCTACATGCAACGCTCACTACCTAAATCTCGAAAATCCACGAACCCCCAGCAAGTTACCTTCCATGAACCCCCAGCAAGTTACCTTCTACCTCCAGCAACTCCACCCTCCCCCAAGAGGCTCTGCCCTGACTGCTCCATTATAGGTAACGCCCCCACACAGCCACTCCACTAAGGCTTGGGTGGAAGGGGCTCCCAGCAGCTGAGTTTGTCTTTCTCTAGTACGCTGATGCTGGCAGGGGTCTCAGTTGAGGATAAGGCCATCTATCAATGTGTGGCAGAGAACAGCGCGGGCTCCAACCAAGCCAGTGTCCACCTGGCTGTGACAGGGGGCCCAGAGCCACCCCCTGTCCCCAGGGGCCTGCAGGCCATGGCTCTCTCTACTTCTGCCATTCAAGTGTCCTGGGAGCCACCCCCCTCCAGTGGGGACATCATCTGGCTATGTGCTGCACCTCCGGCATGTGGGAGGTGGGTGTGGGTAGGTAGACAGGGCTTTGAGCTCAGTGCAGGGCCAGGGGCCAGAAGTCCCTGGCGCCAGCCCACCTCTGCTCCTGACTGCTCATGTCCTGGGTAAGTCTCTCTGTCTCTAGGCACCAGCCTCCTCCATGACCCCAGACCCTTCTGGATTCTTCCCAGGCCTCTGGGCTGTGCTTCTCTGGATTGGCTGCCTCTGTACATGGTCTTCTGGTGCTTCCTTACTGCTTTTCAGCTTGACTAGGCCCCTTCCTCATCCTCATCCTTTCTCAGCTTAGCTCCAAATTCTGTAGCCCCCGTCCCTCCTTGGAGGCTTGGCTAAGCCAGGCACCAGGAGGGGTTTCATGACCCCTTTGTGAGGGTGCGGGGCTGTGGCTAGTGAGAGGCTGCAGAGTTGCCAAGCTGCTCTGCTCCTCAGAGCCATCTGGCCCGGAGCTCCGAGAGGCCGTGAGCAAAGGCACCTCTGAGCACATCTTCTCCACCCTGGAGCCTGCCATGGCCTACACCATCCACTTGAAGGCCTACTCAGCAGAGGGTGCCAGTCAGGACTCTGCCCCCATCTTTGCCTCCACCATGGGCAGCAGTGAGTGACAGCCTTTCCAGCCCTGGGAAGCCCCTGGCCTCAGGTGGTAGGGACTGCCAACCAGTTCACTTGTTTTCCTCTGCAGCCCCTGCTGCCCTGGGCTTCTCCACCAAAGTGCTCAATGCCACTGCTGTGCAGTCCTCCTGGGAGCTGCCACCCCAGTTGGGGCCTATCCAAGGCTTCAAACTGTTTCACCGCAAGCTGCCTGCTGCCCATTTTGAGGGGCCTCTGCTCCTGCCTAGCAGCATCAGCTCCTTCCTCTACACAAACCTGGGTGAGGCTCTGAACCTTCTTGCGCTGCCCAAGGCTTGCCCTTCTCAGTGTGATCTTGCCCCAGGCACTGAGCTTCCTGGCCCAGAAATGCCCGGCACCTTCACATTCCCTTGCTCCCCACAGAACAGCTGCCCTTTATGAGATCAAGCTGCAGGTGTTCAATGACAATGGGGATGGAAAGAGCAGTGCCCGCTTTGTCTCACTGCGTGATGTGCCCCTGGCCACCCCTAGTGAGTGGGGTCTGGTAGGAGGGTAGTAGGGCTGGGGTCAGAGCAGGCCCCTCTTGATAGGACTCATGGCTGCCAGTCTTCAGGGAAGAGGAGGGCTGGGCTTCACCTCCAACCCTGGTCCTCTCTCTGACAGATGGCACAGTGTCCACAGAGTCCAAGGCTGGGTGCTCTTGCAGTCAGGGTGAGAGCAGCCCATTGCCTGGGGTTGTGGTGGGTATCCATGTGGGCCTGGCTGCCCTCATCGTTTGCCTCCTCTGCCTCTTCCTGGGCTGGAGACATAGGTTAAGGACCAGGTAAGGGCTAATGTGGGAAATCTGCCAGGGAGAAAGTCTGTGTCACTGTGGCACAGGACCAAAGAGAGCAGAAAAGAGCCCTGATCTAGTACCAATCAATTTTACCAATGAGGAGACTCAGGCAGAGAGGGAAAGCCAATTCTTTTCAGAGCTGTGTGGTGCCAGGGGCAGGAGGAGGTCTGGTGGGCTACATGAGCAGAGCAGAGAGAACTGGGGCTCCCAAGACAAAGGACAAGGGCAGCAAAAATGAGCTAGAGCCAGTTCCCTGCCATCCAGTGGCATGAAGAGGGGCCCACCCTCTCCATCCCTGGGGAGCATGGTGCAGTAGGAGGGGTTAGGAGCCATGAGAGGTAGAGGAGGCACCAGACAGACCATGTTGCTGTCCCTTCCTACCCGGGCAGCCTCCTCTGCAAACAGGGGTCCCAGGAATGCTGGGCAGTGCCTTGGACTGCCTCGGACAGAGCTGGGGGCTGTCAAGGCCAGACTGAGTGGAGGAAAGCCGGGGGGAGAAGACTGAACTCACCACCCAAGTGAGGGGGATTCCGTGATGGGGAAGGAGTGGGGGAAACTGGATTGTTTGAGGCCTTGGTCCAGAGGCCTGACCTCCTTCACTCTCGGGTGGCCATGGAACAGCTGGCCTTGGCCTGGGGCTCTCCAAGTCGGCTCCCTCCAAGATGCCACTAACTCCGGATACACCAAAGAATCTACCTCACCTGTCTCTGTCACTCTGGAGTCAGGAAAGAACTAAAACTCCTTCAGCCTCTCTCCAGGGGAGGGGCAGGATTGGCCATAGGTGGAGAGGAGAGGGTGTGTTTTCTCTGTTCCTCTCCTACCTCAAGAAATGGGAGAATCTGCATCCCTTCCCCTAACACCAAATAACCTCAAACTAAACCAAGCCCAGCTGGGAGTTACCCCCAACCTAGTTACTCCTGCCTCATAACCCCACCCAATATATTTACCTCTTCTTGATCCAAATATGAACCTGCCTAAAGACATACAGCTTTAAGCGTTCCCCACAAAGGGGGAGGTAGGGAAGGGGGTCTGTCTTCACCTCCATCTCACAACCTGAGGCCCTCCAGTCTGAAATCTGCCTCTGTCTCCTCATGCCCAAGCTGAGCTCTAACTAGGGACAGACAACCTGCATTCCTTGTGGTCTGAGTGGGCAGGTGGCAAAAGGGGTGCTGAGTTCCTTGCCCCCCTTCTCCCTACAATGTAAGAGTCCTGAATAGTTGAGCTCAAACGAGCTTCTCTGAGCAACCAAATACCCAGTTTCCCCTTCCCAGATACAAAGCACTGGCTCCTTCTCAGGGGCATCCTTACCCATTTGATTTCTATTTTTGAAAGAGATTAGTTTGAGTTGGGGTTTTGGCAATCCTGAATCACTTGTAGAATGAGCACAGAGGCTGAGGAGCACCCCCATCTCCCCTCCCTCAACTCTTAGGCTCCAAAGAGCAGCACAGTCCCTCCTCATTCAGCTCCGCCATGCTCAAAAGCCAAAGCCTCAGCCACTCCCTCAACCAACCTCTTTCCAAGGCTGCCCAGTATTGTGCCAAATAGGGAAGGGTCTTGGGGGAAGGAAAGCCCATGGCTTAGAGGACCCCAAAATTGTCTCCTGTGCTCTTGTAATGCTAGTACCAATGCAAGACTCCAGGAAGGCTGGGCTCTGGCCCTCCACAACAGTGCCCTCTGCACAAGGCACAGCAGCAGCGGTAACTAAGAAATGTGGCTGGGGAGCAGGGGCTGAGAATAGCCCCAAACATCAAGTCCTTGAGGAAATGACACCCTCTCCTCTGGTTGGGCCTGGTCTACCTGGTTTGTTGGAAATAAATAACCAAAATGAAAAAGGAAATTAGGATCTGGTTAATGCTTTCAGTTGAAAGGGAAACTTGGGGGAGGGGAGTGATGAGGTAGTGAGAAAGTGCAGTTCCAGACCTTCCAGGGGGTGCTGCGTTCAGACTGTTAACTATTCAGTAGTTTGCCAGAGAAGAGCAATGTGAACCCCTATTGGTATAAGGCATCCATCTAGAGAAATGAGCACGTCAACAAAATATTATTTTCTTTTATAGAGATGAGGTCTCACTATGTTGCCCAGGTTGATCTGGCTCAAGTGATCCTCCCGCCTTAGCCTCCTGAATAGCTATTGACATGCAGCACTGTACCTGGCTGAAGGATTCTGTTTACTAGAGACTAGAGCAGTGTGGTGGGAAGGGCTGTGGCCAAGGGCTGCTAGGGGACACCTTTCCCTCGGAGAGAATGGAGACCCAGCCCCCTCCCCATACCGTCAGACCTAAAGTAATCAGGTAACTATAGTTGGGTTGGTGGCTTCCAGAGCACTGGCTCCAGCTAGAGCTGGAGGGGAACAAGAACACAGAAGCAGATCAGGGCTTTAAATAATCATCACAATAGAAGAGGATACAAAGCAAAGGTACTCAGTCCATGGCCGGACTGACTGTAGGGAAGACAGCCATACCTCAGATCCCATCACCTCGAAAATTCTCCCGCCAAACTGCCACCCCCAGCCCCATGACTAAACCACAAGCCACAGGAAAGTTTAGAAACCATTCCTTTCTTTATTAAACATAGCTTGCAAGTGATAAATATTACAAAGTTTTTTTTTCTTTTAATCCTTTCTCCAAAAATTAGCTTATTATTTGAATCTGTCACTGCTGAAATGCTCAGCAGCATCTGAAACAGATGGGAGTGTATTTGCCTTTTTGAAAACCAGTTTCTATTGGTCTTAGTTTTTTCATTTTATTTCCCAAACACAATGCAGAAAATCAGAATGAGTTAAAAAAGAAATAAAGGAAACTTAAAGAGAGTTGTGCAAAAGGGTCTTGTTCCCCTCCCACCCACCCTATTCAGGGAAGGCCATTCCCCATCCCACCTCCCTGCTCCCCACCCCCCACCCCCAATCTATCCTTCCACCTTCACCAGGGCTTCACCCATCACCCTGTACCCTCTCCAGGCTTTATTGGCCAAGAACCTAAAGAAGAGAGCAGGATTACTCAGCCCAGGCTGTGGGGAAATTGGGCCCCTGAAGGAGACAGACTGTGAAACAGCTGCCTTTAGGGGGGTTCAGATGTAATCTGAGGAAAGGAGTCAAAATGTGGGCTGTCTTCGCTCTCCTATTTTATCACCAGGATGAGGGAAGTTCCGTATCCTGTAGCTCACAAAGGGAGTAAGTAACTAGAGCACCAACATGAGGCATTCAACCACCCTTAAGGGCTCTGTGGTTGGCTGTGAGATGGGGCTTGGGGCCTGGTCCCTGCCCTCAAATGACTGGAGGCATAAAGGCAAAGACGTCACTCGTCTGACATCCTGGACATTACTCTGCTGCCTCTCCAAAATGAAGGGTAAAGGTAGAGGACTGGCAGTTCTCCAAGGGCATTGTCATACACATAACCACACCAACGCTGGTCACTTTCATTTCCTCCCTGGTTTCTCAGCCCAACACTTCCCTCACCTCAAATTGTTTTTGGGTTTTGGCAGGTGGGGAAAGAAGCATAGAATTTTAAACTTGATGGCCAGATGATCTCCCTCTTCACTTCACAGATAAGAAAATTGAGACCCAGAAAATTAACTACCAAAGATCACGTAGCAAGTTAGTAGGAGACCCCAGGTCTCCAGATTGCAGCCCCCTCAACCCCTTTTGTGTTGTTGGTGGTTCTTTTTACTCTACACAGTCCTGGACCAGGAGGTCACGGCTTTCACAGGAGCCCAGCCTCACCTCAGTTCACACTGCCTAAGACTGTGCATATGGATGTGGCTCTCGTTAGGTGAAATCTTCTCAGGATGACTTATTAAAATCTTTTCTATCATCCTCTGACAATGCACCCTCAAAGGCCCGTGAGACTAGGTTCTTTCTTTTTTGAGGAGGTGGGGTGGGGGAAGTCCCTTGCGTAAGAAAGCTTGACACTGAATTTTGTTATATAGGTATATTGTATATATGCTGATGCAATCAGAGGAAAAAAAACAGTGCAAATACAATTACAATTCATAATAATACTTGGTTTCGATGCCCCCGGGAACTGCCCCATTCCTCGGCTACCTCCCAACCCCCAGCACTTCCCCACAGTATCAACCTAATGCTGGGGGGTAGGGAGGGTGGGCAGGTTAGGGTAGGGAGTGGGCTCTGCCAAGGCAGTGCTGGTGACCCGGAGGGACTACTCCAGGGTGGGGAGGCAAGGCACAAATTAGGGGTGGGTGGTGGGGGAGGTGGCATCTCTAAGGAGGGATGGGGTTGGAGCAGCTGCCAGTCTCAGTGTGCTGGGCCCGGCCCACTCCCCTACCCACCCTCCACAGCCCTGCCTCCCTACCCCCTCCCCTTCCCCAGAAACCCTTTTGCACGGATCATACACAAACGGGCACATTACAAAATGACATAACACAGTTTCACAATATCCATGGCTAGGGCTTTTTTTTCTCTTTTTCAGTTTTTTTTTTTTTTCTACACAATGTACAATTCCTTTTAAATGGATCAAGAAATAGCTTATATACACGAATGAGTCCTTGTTATAACATCTCGGCAGCAAATATCGTAAGCTAATGAAGGTCTTGATGGAAAGGATGGGAGCCTAGGACTGACTGGGGTGGGGTCGGGGGTATGGAGAGAAGGGTTATGCCTTCTGGAGGAGTGGGGAGAAAAGGGAATGACTGGGGAAAAGGAACAAAAGTAAAATATCAAGAAGCATCTTTACAAAGCAGTTCTATAGCTAATTCCTTTTAAAGGGGAAAGGAAAGGTAACCAAAGCAGGAAAACATTTATCTCTGTGTCTTAAAATAAATTGTCTACCATACATATATCCAAAAATGCGGGGAAAATACTTATTCCAGGGATGGAGGGAGTCCAGATGCTGTGGTCAAATTATAAAATAAAATGGACAAATAAGAACCTCTGTCCCCCAGTTTCACCCAAGCCTTACTGCTATTCCACTCATTTCAGGCTTCTAGGAAGTAAGACACCAACCGTACACTACTACTTTTAGTGCCTCTGGGGATGGAGGAAGCCAGGCAGAACTGGTGGGATCCTCTCTCTCCTATAATGCTTCAAACAGAGGGTCTTTCCTCCTGTCCTTAGGGCATGAGGTTTAGTGTCTACACGGCCCAGAGCCTGGAGATGGATAGTAACAAGTAGACTTGGAGGGACACAAGGCAATCAGTGATGAAAAAGAGAAACAGAACTGAGGGAGACAGAAGGATGAGGAAGGAGGAGGGAAGGAAGGAGGTGGAAGGCTAATACTTTACCATGATTAGGGAGACCTCACCTCCATCACTAATCCCTGGGAAGAGTATAAAACTGGGGAGAAGAGAGGGTAAGAAATCAAACCTCAGCGGTTGAACAAAGGGTCACAGAGCTATACTAGTCAAGAAGCAGCTTCTATGTAACTGACCCTGAGGGGATATAAACAGGGAAGATTCCACCATCTCCCCTATGGCCTCAGCACCTAAGCAGGCACTCGACTATGGGCTTTCCTTCTCCATGATTCCCCATCTCTACACATCTTACTTCCAAACCCCATTCTAAGGTGGTCTGGCTCCCAGGGAAAGGACTCAGCTCAGGGCAGGGCAGGGACAGCCCCCAGCCAGACGGTATTGCACATTCTCTGTTCCTTACTTTTAATCTCAACTGACAAACTTGGGCATCTCGTACCTCTGAGCACCTCTGAGCTTGGGGAGAGGGAGACATAACAGAAATGGCACTTCATCATGAGGGAGGGAGAGGCTAGACAGACATGCCACAAGGCAAGATGACTTGTAGGGAAAATATTAAAAAAAAAAAAAAAAAAAGCTTCCAATTTTGTGGAAGAGAGAAAAACAAAACCAAACAATTTATCCAGTGCTTTCAAAGCACAGAGGGCAAAGAAAAGATGTAAGAATATATCTTTATATATATATATATAATTTTAAAATAATCCCAGACCCAGTTCCATTAACCCCCCTCCCTCTCCCACCACTTACAGTCAGGGGTACCACATTCCCCAGAAAAATACTCGAAAAGACCCAATCACTACCTGTTACTAGCATCTAGCTTCCAGATCATTTCACCACTGGGGGAGCCCAGACACTGGCTGCATCTCTGCTCCTTTAAGTGCTCAATGAATTTGGGGGAAGGGAGGAAAGAAAAAAGCCAGGAAGGCCCGTAGGGCCAGTATAATCACCCACAGTGGCACTGGGGTGTGGGGAGTAGAGGCCAGAGTAGGCGAACTGAGCCTGATTTTAGCTCTTTCTCCCACTCCACCTCCAAATTTTATGGGGAAGATGTGCAGTTTGTGTGTGTGTGTTAATTTTAAAAGTGCCTTCTATAAAAAAATTACTTAATTTTAAAAAATAAAAGTGGGGAAACTTCCTCAGGTGACTTTAAAGGGCAAAATATTAAACTTCCCCTCATTCTTCTCTGCTGAGAGTATTTCCCCCAATGCACTCTGGCAGCTTCTCGAGCCAGAGGCAAGTGGGTGTACACTATGAGAAGAGCATAAACCCGTACCTTTAAGGGGCTTCCCTTACTTCAGAAACAGCCTGGTCCACTCCCTCTTCCCACAGTGTGGGCAAATGGGATGCTAATCTCCCCAATCCCCAGAACAGCAACATTGCACAATTCAATTCATTCTCTACATTAGTAGCGCTTTAAAAAAAACAAAAAAGGGCAAAATTAATATTGGGGATGGGGGTGGGGGAAACAACAACTACTTGTACAGCAGAAGCCCTAAGCTGGTTTTGACATGAGCAGTTGGTGCAGCAGTTGGTGCAGCAGAGTAAGGACAGGACCAACCTGATTGTGCTCCCAGCCTCTCATCTCCTGGCACTCAGAGGGTGAAATAATAGGCAAATATGAGAATCTCAACTGTTGGGAGATAAATCCCTTCTTTCCTCTATTTCCTTCTGACTCATTCATGTCCATCCAACTTGTGGGACACCCAGCAAACTCAGCCTTGGAACAGCCGTTCCTCTGTATTATAAATGGGGCTATGATTAGAGGGGATACAATTTTTAAAAGCAGGGTGGTGTGAGGGAGAATTTCACAAAGAATCCAAGATGAAATAATTTTGGACTGGTTGGCCTGGAACAGACTTCCATATTCCCACTGGGGTCTGAAGATAGGTCTTATTTCTCCAACACCCAGAAGGGCAGGACCTAGTTTCAGTCCTCCCTGGCTCATAATTAAGCCCATCATAACTTTCTTTCTTTCTTCTATCGGTAAATTCCAGAGTGGCTGTTTTAAAGCTTCTCCCTTCAGGCTCTTTTCCCTCATTCTTAGAGCCCAATTTCACGACTAAAGACTGCCCCTCAAATTGTCCAACCCCCAAACACCCACAGCTGGGGTGCTTTTCGTCCTTGTTCAATGACCCCCAACCTGTGCCCTCCTCCAGTTAAGTGCATTCAAAACTTTTGCCCCTAACACTCCTAGACATGTCCTACTTGGCAGCTGGGACCCCTACTGCAATCTGCAATGCTCCTATCATTGAACTGAATATCACTGTGTTTACAAAAAAAAAAAAAAAAAAAAGGAAGAAAAGGAAAAAGAAAAAGATTGGTTGGGGGGGGAGGTTTAACCATCCACTGAACAAAGGGAGGACACATAACATCATTAAAAATGGTAATAATCATAGCATAAAACAACTTTAGAAACACATATCAGAGGGCTTAGATTCTCCCCAGGACCTCATTCTGACCTCTATCAGAGGTAGATCCACCTCACTGTTAAAGAAAATTGAAGAGAGAAGACAGAACAGCAGAACAGATCGCAGCAGTGTAAATAAAGGGGAGGTGGCAGGGCAGGGCGTGTTTTCTTGCTGATTTCTATTTTTTGTCTTCTGTTTTTCTGTTTTGCTTTCCGTGTATGGTAGGCACCAGTACAGGCACTGCATGCGACAGAAGTTGGGGAAATGAAAGAGGAAAGGGATAAAGGATTCAAGGATGGGGCAGTACAAGTGGAACAGGCGTTATTTCTGTCCACTGATGGACTGCGATATAGACCGGGGAGGGATCATGTCTAAAAGGTATTCACGCTGTCGGTCTGCCAAACTGGGGCCTTTGTGTCCTCCGATGCCAGTATTCAAGTATGCAATGTTGACACCTGGACCCAGGAGACAAAAGTGGAGGGCAGGTATTAAAAGAGGAAATAACATTCCCTTCCACTCCACCCTCCAGCTGCAAAGTTGGAGATGGAGAGGAAACAGAATTTACCAGCATCTGGCCAGACTTGGTTAGCATTATTTCAATAGTAACTTTTTCTTTTTTTGAGATGGAGTCTCACTCTGTCACCCAGGCTGGAGTGCAGTGGTGCGATCTTGGCTCATTGCAACCTCCGCCTCCCAGGTTCAAGCAATTCTTCTGCCTCAGCCTCCCAAGTAGCTGGGACTAAAGGTGTGTGCCACCATGTCCGGCTAATTTTTGTATTTTTAGTAGAGATGGGGTTTCACCATGTAGGTCAGGCTGGTTTTGAACTCCTGACCTCATGATCAACCTGCCTCAGCCTCCCAAAGTGCTGGAATTACAGGTGTGAGCCACTGCACCCGGCCCTTTTTTTTTTTTTTTTTTTTTTTTGAGAAGCAGTCTAGCTGTCACCCAGGCTAGAGTGCAGTGGCGTGATCTCAGCTCACCTCTGCCACCCAGACTCAAGCAATTCTCCTGCCTCAGCCTCCAGAGTAGCTGGGATTACAGGTACGTGCCACTACTGCCCGGCTAATTTTTGTACTTTTAATAGAGATGGGGTTTCACAATGTTGGCCAGGCTGGTCTTGAACTCCTGACCTCAAATGATCCACCCACTCTGGCCTCCTAAAATGCTGGGATTACAGACATGAGCCACTGTGCCTGGCCAAGTTTTGGTAAATTTATTTTATTTATTTGAGATGAAATTTCACTCTTACTGCTCAGGCTGGAGTGCAGTGGCACAATCTCGGCTCACCACGACCTCTGCCTCCTGGGTTCAAGTGATTCTCCTGCCTCAGCCTCCTGAGTAGCTGGGATTACAGGCACCCACCACCATGCCTGGCTAATTTTTTGTATTTTTAGTAGAGATGGGGTTTCATCATGTTGGCCAGGCTGGTCTTGAACTACTGACCTGAGATGATCCACCCACTTTGGCCTCCCAAAGTGCTGGGGTTACAAGCATGAGCCACCGTGCACAACCAGTTTTTCTGTATTTTTAGTAGCGATATGGTTTCACCATGTTGGCCAGGCTGATCTCAAACTCCTGATCTCAAGTGATCTGCCTGCCTTGGCCTTTCAAAGTGCTGGGATTACAGGTGTGAGCCACCGCACCCAGCACAGCAACTTTATTTCAATCCCCACTCCTATTCCTAAGCTTTAGAAAAAGGGGAAGTCCTGAAATTTCAGTCCTACCAGGAATAATGAACATGCTCCTGATAGTATAGGAGAGATAAGTGAAACAGTAGTGAGAGGAATGAGTAAGACAGAGAGATAAAATCATTAAATCAGCTTTAATTTTTTTTTTTTTTTTGAGATGGAGTCTTGCTGGAGTCTTGCTCTTATTGCCCAGGCTGGAGTGCAATGGCATGATCTAGGCTCACTGCAACCTCCCAGGTTCAAGCAATTCTCCTGCCTGAGCCTCCCAAGTAGCTGGGATTACAGGTGCCCACCAACCATGCCTGGCCAATTTTGAAAATATTTTTAGTAGAGACAGGGTTTTGCCATGTTGGCTAGGCTGGTCTCGAACTCCTGACCCTGTGATCCACCTGCCTCAGCCTCCCAAAGTGCTGGGATTAAGGCTTCAGCCACCTCGCCTGGCCTTGGCTTTTGATTTTGAGGCTGCAGATTATGAGAAGCATCCCTGGATCATTCAAACACAGTTAACCCTGTTGTCCCAGCCAAAATGGATCAATAATCACATGTATACTGAAGGCATATTAAAAATTTATAATGATAGGATCTGGGTCATTTTCACCACCAGAACCCTAGTGCACTGTGGCTGGCATGTAATATGAATTTAGCAAATATTTGCTGAATAACAAGAGTGAGGATGTATGCTCTAGAAAGAAAAGAAAGTAAAGGAAGGAACAATTCCCTTAAAGGAGTTACTACAGAATGGTGTACTAACAGTTGACCCATGAGAAACATTTTCAGATTATCCTTCTTACCTGGCATACCAAGGAGGCCACCTGGCACAGACAACTGGGGCGCCTGTGCAAAGTTTGAAAGCATGGAGCGGGCAGATGTGGGTATGCCACGCTGGAGGCTGCTCTGGGGCTGTGGAGCCTGCAACGATGAGGAACAGTTGATACAACTTTGCTATGATAGAATGTTAAATGAGGGCAAAGATAAGGGAGTACAGAAGAAGAATATGATTTCCCACAATAGAAAAGACAAATTATGATAAATGGTTGATAAACATTCTAAAGAAATCAGGATCAGGGGAAAAAGTTCCTTACCTGCCGAAGCGTATGATGTCTCATGATGGTCTCTTGTTTACTGACACTGGACACAGCTGGAGCCGTAGTGGGGGAAAGGGCTGCCTGCTGCTGTAATCGCTGTTCAATTTCCTGTTGGGAGTCATCAGATTAGGTTGACAGGACAGCACCTAATTTCCTTTTTTTTTTTTTTTTTTTTTAATAGAGACATGGTCTCACTTTGTTGCCCAGGCTGGTCCTGAACTCCTGGGCTCAAGCAATCCTCTCACCTTAGCCTCCCCAAAGTGCTGGGATTACAGGCATGAATCACTGCACCCAACCCACCCGATTTCCTAACCAGAAAACCTAGAGGTGTTCTTACCTCTAATGTTGCTGGCTAGTTGGTGGAATACAGAAAAGGCAAAAAAGTTTGGTAGGGTGGTACACTGAGATTTCTGGGTATAAGCAGCTAACCTGCTTCACTGATCAAGGGATCCTCCTCTCTCTGTTTCTCCAGGAAAGCTGACTCTCAGAAGTTGGCTGGAGGTGATGAATTAATTAAGGCTGATGAATTACTGGGGTCTTATTTTATCACTTTTTTTCTTTCTTATTTTTAAAAAATTTTATTTATTTTTTACTACCAGTCCAACAGCATACATGGGTTTTATTTTTTACTCCTGCCTACCCCATCTTCCAAAAAATTCATGATGCTAACCAAACAAGGGAGTCTGATGGGTAGAGTGGGAAATAAGAAGGATCTGAGTTTTCCAACACATTTTTCCCTCTCTAAGATATTCTCATCCTATTACTACAACATGAGATGTTCACATACTCTAGAACCACTACTCTTCACTGGGTTACTTCAAAATTCACTCTTTCCTTTGTCATTTCCTGTCAAATACACACTGCAAATAACTACTACTAAGAGATTTCTAGTACAAATATAAATTCTTACCACCAAAATCTTTTGTTTTAGGAGAAAATGAAGATGAGAATAGAGTGCTATGGAAAAGCCAAGAGCCCCAAACTTTCTGTCCCTTTCTGTTAACCTCAGCCATTATATTTTACCATGTTCTTAATCAGAATACTCCCTCAAATGGAAATACAATCAAATGATAAGGAGACAAAAAGGGAACCTCTGGACCTGTGGGGATCACATGAACCACTCCTGCAAACTAGAAGGCACGACCCTTTGGAAAAAACAAACTGGGGCAGGTGGCTGGTGAGTTCAGAATTCTTACCTGTTCCTGCTGTAGGGCTTTCACAAATGCATTTTTCAGCCGGTTGGTGTGTTCAGCTTTTAGAGCCTTCTTCTGGTTGGAGGTCATACACTGCTCACATAGAATCTTACCATTCTTTTCTTGCTTCCAGTGAGGGGTAAAATCTGTGCGGCACTGGGCACATACAAAGGGTTCAACCCGCAGAAGTGAGGCACAGCTTTTGCCTAAATACCAACAAAAAATAGTCAGTGGCTTTACATTTCCTGTCTCCTCTGTTTCTCTTAATCAAACAGATCTTTTCAAGGAGTTTATTCTGATGAATTAAAGAAAGAGACTCTACAAAAATAATATTCTATAATTTACAAAATTATAATTTACAAAATATAATTTACAAAATTTCATCTGATTACCACAGTTATCACTTTAGGGAATTCAGATAGTACCAGTTTCCTTCACAAATTAGGAAAGAAATCTAAGAAATGCAGCTTCTAACTGATAAAGCTGGGATGTTTCCTGATTTTCTACTATATCACACTGAGAAGAAAATCCTGCGTCAATTCAAAGTCAAAGGACTCTGTCTAACTCAACCAATACTTTTGCTTCTTTTTTTTTTTTTTGGGGGGGGGAGGAAGGCAGAAAGGAAGGGAATAAGGACGGTAGGGAGGAAGGAAGGAAGGAAGGGAGGAAGCGGGGAGGGAGGGAGGGAGGGAAAGAAAGGAAATCAAGCAATGAAAGAGACATTGCCGACCTGGATCTAGAGGTTTACAAGTTGATTTCTTTTTTTTTGAGAGAAGGAAAGAAAAAAAAAATAAGTAAAGGAGAGGAAGAAAGAGGAAGAGAAAGCGGGAGAGTAAATGGAAATATTGCTTTATTTTGAAAAAAATTGGGTATTAATAATGGCCAATCAATGTTTCATTTAAACTAATGGGTAGGTGTGATGTGGTATTGACAAGAATGTATATTTTGTGTATTTGAAGTGGAGAGCTCTATAAATATTTATTGTTTACTTGTTCTGGATCTGAGTTCGAGTCCTTGATATCCTTATTAATTTTCTGTCTCATTGAATCTATGTCTCCTATCTGGGTGTTAGGATCGTTAGCTCTTGTTGTTGCATTGATCCTTTTACCACTATATCTTTGTTGCTTTAAAATCTATTTTATCCGATACAAGAATTGCAACTCCTGCTTTTTATTTATTTATTATTTATTTTTGCTCTCCATTTGGTTGGTCAATCTTTCTCCATCCCTTTGTTTTGAGTCTTTGTGTATCCTTGCATGTGAAACAGGTCTGGATGTAACATGCCGTTGGGTTTTGGCTGTGTCTTTTGATTGGGAATTCAGTCAATTTAAATTTAGGGTTACTGCCATTTGATGTTGACTGGCTGTTTTATCCATTTGTTGGTGTAAATTCTTCTTTATGTTGGTGCTCTTTACTTTTTGGTGTATTTTTAGAAAGGCTAATACTGGTTGTTTCTTTCTGTGTGTAATGCTTCTTTCTGGAGCTCTTGTAAAGCAGGCCTGGTGGTAATAAAATCTCTGAGTTCTTGCTTGTTCATAAAAGATTTTATTTTTCCTTCAGTTGTGAAGCTTAGTTTGGCTGGATATGAAATTCTGGGCTGAAGGTTCTGTTCTTTGAGGATGTTGAATATTGGCCCCCACTCTCTTCTGGCCTGTAGAGTTTCTGCCAAGAGATCTGCTGTAAGTCTGATAGGCTTGCCTTTGTGGGTAATCTGACCTTTCTCTCTGGCTGCCCTTAGTATCCTCTCCTTCGTTTCAACCCTGGTGAATCTAACGATTATGTGCCTTGGGGTTGCTCTTCTTGAGGAATATCTTTGTGGTGTTCTCTGTATTACCTGGGGTTGAATGTTGACCTGCTTTGCTAGTTTAGGAAAATTTTCCTGAATAATATCCTGAAGGGTATTTTCCAGCTTGGATTCATTCTCTCCGTCGCATTCAGGTACACCTATCAAACGTAAATTTGGTCTTTTCACATAGTCCCACATTTCTTGGAGACGTTGCTCATTCCTTTTTATCCTTTTTTCTCTAATCTTTTCTTCACGTTTTATTTCATTAAGTTGGACTTTGACCTCTGATATCCCTTCTTCTGCTTGAACAATTCGAGTGTTTAAATCTGTGCATACTTCTCGGAGTTCCTGTATTGTATTCTTCAGTTCCATTAATTCACTCATACTCCTCTCTAAGTTGTCTATTCTCAATAGGATTTCATCAAACCTTTTTTCAAAGTTCCTAGTTTCTTTACGTTGGGCTACAACATGTTCTTTTAACTCACCGAAGTTTGTTATTATCCATTCCTTGAAGAGTGATTCTGTCATCAGGAGGCGCTTGTTCTCCATCAAGCCTTGTTCCATTGTTGATGAGGAACTGTGATCATCTTTAGAGGGAGAGGCATTCTGACTTTGAGTATTCTCAGCTTTTTTACGCTGGTTTCTTCCGGTCATTGTAAATTTATCCTCCTGTCGTCTTTGAAATTACCAACTTTCAGATTAGGTCTCTTGAGTGGACGTCCAGGTTGTTAGTTCCCAGGGCCAGAGCAGCGGCGTTAAAACTGATGGTGCTTTTCTGCCCAGGATTCTCCTGTCAGGCTTCCTTCTTGTTTCCGTAGTAGGCGACTCTGCCTTCCCGGGGCTCCAAACCTCGGTCAGAAGGGGAACCGGTCCCGTTTATTCTGCACTGAGCACTGCAGCATCGAGGTGCTGGCAGAACTGCTGCGCCGACCACGAGAGTCGCGCTGGCGACTCGTGTGTTTCCACCACTGGGGGATCTTCTGCTCCATGAGCGACCAGACTTTGTCTGAAAGTGTGGCGTCCTCTATTTCTCCGCGCCTTCCCTGAGAGCTGCAATCCTGGGATGTTAGCGATTGGCCATCTTGGATCGTTCACTTTTGCTTCTTAATATCTCCTTACCTCATACTGTTCTTATCCCTGTCCTATAAATTTAGTTTTAAATAGTTATCAGTGTCTGAATTATTCACTTTGTGATCTATTTATAGCTAACATTGATTCCTCTGGGCACTTTCCTTTACTCTCAGTTTTTCTTCGTTAAGTCCACATGTTTAGAAATTCAAGTTTAATAACTTCAGTTAGTCTAGACTGTTTGATGATAATACTCTATAGTATGGTTTAGTATTGGTTTACAGCTTTTTATATGGTCTTTCTTAGTTATTTATATAAGTGTGTCTAGTTTCTCAACTGCAAGTATTCAAAGGTCAGGGACTAAATACAGAAATTCAGTACAACGTTGCAAAAACACTGACATTAAAAATAGAAGTTCCAGGCCAGGCATGGTGGCTCACACCTGTAATCCCAGCACTTTGGAAGGCCAAGGCAGGCGGATCATTTGAAGACAGGAGTTTGAGATCAGCCAGGCCAACACAGCAAAACCCAGTCTCTACTAAAAACAGAAAAAATTAGCTAAGTGTGGTGGCACACACCTGCAATTCCGGCGACTCTGGAAGCTGAGGCACAAGAATTGCTTGGGGCAGGTGCGGTGACTCATGCCTGTAACTCCAGCACTTAGGGAGGCCAAGGCGGGCAAATCACCTGAGGTCAGGTGTTTGAAACTAGTCTGACCAACACTGTGAAACCCCGTCTCTACTAAAAATACAAAAATTATCCAGGCGTGGTGGCAGGCGCCTGTAATCCTAGCTACTTGGGAGGCCAAGGCAAGAGAACTGCTTGAACCTGGGAGGCAGAGGTTATAGTGAGCTGAAATCACGTCATTGCACTCTTCAGCCTGGGTGACAGAGCGAGACTCCATCTCAAAAAAAAAAAAAGAATTGCTTGAAACCAGGAGGCAGAGGTTGCAGTGAGCTGAGTTCATGCCACTGTACTCTAGCCTGGGTGACAGAGTAAGACTCTGTCTCAAAAAAACCAAACCAAACCAAAACAAAAAAAAACTCTGGGCATGGTGGTATATGCCTGTGGTACCAGCTACTCAGGTGGCTGAAATGGAAGGATGGCTTTAGCCTGGGAAGTCAAGGCTGCAGAGAGCTGAGATCACATCACTGCACTCCAGCCTAGGTGACAGAGTCAGACCCTGTCTGAAAAAAACAAAAAAAAAAAAATGAGAAAGAAGTTCTATTTATCAAATTATGCAGCATCATGCTAGCCACCATTTAAAAGAACTAAACAAAATACAGTCAGTCTTCAATTGACAGGTTCTTAGAGACTGATTTCAGTGAAACAACATACAACATGATCAATCTTTTTTTCTCATCAATGTTATAATAAAATGTTATTTGAGGATCCCCCCAGCCACCACAGTTGTTTCGCTTAAAATCACAGTTTCTTTTTCTTTTTTTTTGAGACGGGAGTTTTGCTAGTGTTACCCAGGTTGGAGTGCAATGGCGCGATCTCGGCTCACCACAATCTCTGCCTCCTGGGTTCAGGCAATTCTCCTGCCTCAGCCTCCTGAATAGCTGGGATTACAGGCACGTGCCACCATGCCCAGCAAATTTTTTGTATTTTTAGTAGACATGGGGTTTCACCATGTTGACCAGGATGGTCTCGATCTCTTGACCTCGTGATCCACCCGCCTCGGCCTCCCAAAGTGCTGGGATTATAGGCTTGAGCCACCGTGCCCGGCTAAAGTCAGTTTCTAAGAAACTATTGATGATGGTAGTGAGGACTCACTGCCCTACAAAAAACATAAAAGATAGATAAATACAAATAAAAATATTAAGCCTCAATGATAACTGACCTGCCAAAAGGAAAAAAACAAGCTGAAGATAGATTAGATTAGATTAGATTAGATTAGATAGATAGATAGATAGATAGATAGACAGACAGACAGACAGATAGATAGATAGATAGGTAAGAACAGTGGCTTTTGCCTGTAATCCTAGCACCTTGGGAGTCTGAGGTGAGTGGATCACCTGAGGTCAGGAGTTCAAGACCAGCATGGGCAACATGATGAAACCCTGTCTCTACTAAAAATACAAAAATTAGCCAGGTGTGGTAGCACATGCCTATAGTCCCAGCTACATGGGAGGCTGAGGCAGGAGAACTGCTTGAACTCGGGAGGCAGAGGCTGCAGTAAACTGAGATTGTGCCACTGCACTCTAGCCTGGGCGACAGAGCGAGACTCTGTCTTAAACAAAAAACAAGAAAAGATAGATAGATAGATAGATAGATAGATACACACACACACACACACACACACACACACACACACACACATGCACTCCTAACATGTTGCTCTGAAACAGCCTATAAAGAAGGGAGGGGAAGTGGTTTGATAACAGGAAGCAGGAAGGAGAGGTTATTGAATATTGTACAGCACCCTCTGATACTCTGCCTATGTCAGTCAGGCTTGGCAAACACTTGCTTAAATCAAGAGATTGACTAGAAGAAATAGCCTTACCTTGGCTGTCAATGACACTCTGTACGACTTCTTCCAAGCCTACCATGTAGATGAACTCGCTATTGGCTGCACTAGGCAGGAAGTGAAGTAAAGGAGCAGGAGGTTTAGGGGGTGGGATCTCCAGGAGTGTCTTTTCCAGCTGTTTGCGAAGAGCCAATTTGGCTGCAGCCTGTGAGTTGGCAGCATCAGTCATAGCGCTGGGGCTAGGAAGTGGCGAGGACACTCTATTCACTGTTCCTGGCTGGATATGAGAGGCAAGGTTCATATAGATGGCAGAGGATGTTGTACGCTGACAGGGAACAGAAGAACTTGACTGCTGAAATAGATTGAGAACGGGGTCAATCATGGTATGTAGGAGAAAGGATCAATTCTTATGTTCTTGGCAGAGGACCCTGTCTGATCCTGGTTTGGACTACTTAGCTTCTCCAAAATAGGAGGTGGTCAACTTATTCACTGAAAAAGAACTCTGACACATAGGAAAGGAGAATGATGACGACTATGAGCTAAAATTGCTAAGAAAGAAATAAAGGCCAAGTGTGGTGGGTGGCTCACGCCTGTAATCTTAGCACTTTAGGAGACAGAGGCGGGTGGATTATTTGAGGTCAGGAGTTTGAGACCAGCCTGGTCAACATGATGAAACCCCATCTCTATTAAAAATATAAAAATTAACTGGAAATTCCTTGAACCTAGGAGGCAGAGATTACAGTGAGCCAAGATTGTGCCACTGCACTCTAGCCTGGGCAATGGAGCAAGACTCTGCCTCAAAAAAAAAAAAAAAAAACAAAACAGGAGAGAGAAATAAAGATTTTGCTTTCTGTCACACATTCTTGTGCTTACTCTTTAAATCACTCTCTTCTGGGCAGATTTTTAGCTCACTGCTGCTCTGCTGTATAACCTTCTCTCCTCTACTACTATTTTAATATAATTCCTCAAAGCTTCTACTTTGGGGACTGCTCTCAATTCAATCCCTACCTAAATAAGCATTTTTGTCCTAGAGTTTACCTATGTATAAAAACTTAAAACCTATGGCCCTTTCAACAAGCAAAGCAAATGAAGGATTTCACTGTTTCCACATTAGGGCTCAGCTCTCTCTTACCGGTTGGTAATTGATGGCAGGATTCATGTTGGGTGTTGTGGTGCGTACAAGGCCAGGCTTAGGTGGGCCCCGCTGACCTTGTAGCTGGGCTGGGTTTGGTGCAATAACACGTTGAGACATCAGCATGTGTGGAAGGGTAGTATTGGTAGCTGAACGAATGACACTGTGACCCTGAAGGGGAAGAAAAGGAAAAGAACTAATCACAAGTGGTATAATATTTCACAAAAGGGAAAACACTGCCTATAATTCATAGCTGAGTAGAAACACAGGAACACAGCCAGACTTGGTAATTTCACTTAATGGTCTATGGGATAAATCTACTATCATCGTAAACCTGATTAGTGGTTGGGAAGTCCTTGGCTTTCTTTGGTACAAACTAATCCTATAGGGTTAGATAGAAAACTATCTACCCCTTCCCTAGAGAAGCTGGAAGCATTCTCTAGAGAAGAAAAACTAGAGTGGAAAGATGAAAGTTACTCATCCTTCTACTGAAGACTAAATCATGCCATAATGGACCAACAGAACAATCTGTAGTAATAATTAACACCTCTACCATGGCCAGGTTCTTCTACAATCTTCATAAAAGCCCCAAAACAGAGACAGGATTAGACAGGGCCCTCCAACAATAAGATCCCACTATGGGTCACATACCTGTAATGTTCTCAAATTTTGAGGTTCAACCCCTTGGGCCCCAGGCCGGGAGGGAAGCTTAGATAGGCCCTGCTGTCCCACATGGGCAGGAGATGGTTGAACAATAGATGCTGCATTCTGTACAACTGGAGTCTGGGAGAGGGAAGAGAAAATGAGACTGGAAAAGGCCAATAATCAGAGGTGGAAATCTGGTACATTTCTAGACTTTAAAAATTCCTTGTCAGTGTGAGGTTCTTGTCAACTAGGAGGAAAAACCAGAAAAAGGGAGTCAAGATTTTCTTAAGGCCTAAGACTTAAAAAAAAAAAAAAACAAAAACCTTACTACTACAGACTGAAAAACTATGGACCCATAGAAGAATGAGCCACCCAACTGAACCTACCTGGGGTAGCCTACTCTCAAACCCGTTTTTCTTTCCTTTCCTATAGTCCCTTATTTCTAGGGCACATTACCTTCTGGACCACATTCTCTTTCTGTAGCTGACTCTGTCTCAGTTTCTTTAACAGGACCAGTCGGGCTTCTTCCAATCGTAGCTCATCCCTCAACTGCTTGATAAGTTGCTGCCGTTCCTCAATCCCTTTCCCCTAAGGAAACAAGGAGACTGTCAGCTATGGCAGGATGTACCCAGAATTCCTTCCTGCAAGAGACAATCTTTACTTTTTTTCTTTTTTAACTTTCTAGTCGGTCTGTACTTATCCATTAAGAGACAATCTTTACTTCTTAGCTCTGAAACCTTTATCTTCCACAAGAAGCAGAAGTGGCAACAGGATTATCTTTGTATCTCTGGGGTCTGGCACAGTGCCTAGCATTTAGTGGGTATTCAAAAAAATGCTTAGAGAATTAAAGGAGAGACCACATATCTCATCATCCAGATTCCTGGCAAAAAGAATAACTAAAGAGAAACATTGTCTTCTTTCAAAATAATGTTACTAAATCTCTTAAAGCTACATTTCCTCTGGTTATACATAAAAATTTAGGAATCCCTTCATATTCTGGTACTTAGGTTATTAGAGTTCAGAAGACATCCTTCCAGCCAAGAGTTTATATGACTTGAATTATGAACTTTTGTTTTCATTTTCCAAAGATAAATTACACTGAATATAATGGCCCACGTATATGCTTTTCAAACTATGGTTTCCACTTGATTCTAATAGTTCCTTTTAAAAGCCCTTGAAGTCCAGTCACATAGTTTTCATTAATGAGTAGTTATTTATATCCAAAGAGTAAATAGTCAAAAAACAGAACTAAGACTCTTGAGGAATTAAATAAAATAGAAGAAGCATAACATGAAGAAATAAATTTTTCTTTCTTTTTACCTTAAACATCTCTAGGTTGGCTGCTTTTAGTCTTTCTTCCATTCTGGAACTGGAACGGGGACTGGAAGCCTCGTTGTCAGATAAAACAATGATGTCTGGTGAGGGAGTCAGTCTTCCTCGCTCTGGCTCACTAGAAAAAAAAAGGAAAAAACAAGCTACTTCCAACAGTAAAAGTCCACACAAAAAAAGTTAAGAAAACTTTTTCTCTATGCTGAACAAAAAAAATCCAAGGGAATTTAGATTTGTCCGACTCACCCAGAGGAAAACAGACACACTCAAATCCTGGGATGAAGACACCAAGATGTAAATGAAAAATAGTTCCCCCATCTAAATTCCTTACAGAGGATGCAGGGACAAAGATACAAAGACAATGACTGGTTTTCGAATAGGAATAAGAGATCAGTGTTCTTATCACACAGATTTTTAATGAAAATTATAAATGTTTCCCCATATCTCACTCTCCACTGGGCTGTTGTTAGTTATGTAGAGGCTCAAGAAGAAAATGGCTAGCTCTACAAAAGAAGGAAAAGGCAGCAGAGCCTAACTACCACTCTGGATACAGATGATGCACTGCTAAGGAGACAGCTCATTATCATGACATGGCTATGTGACACCTCCTATAATAGTCTATCCTGCCCAGGCGCAGTGGCTCACGCCTGTAATCCCAGCACTTTGAGAGGCTGAGGCAGGTGGATGACAAGGTCAGGAGTTCAAGACAAGCCTGGGCAACATGGTGAAACCCTGTCTTTATTAAAAGTACAGAAATTAGCTGGGCGTGGTGGCAAGTGCCTGTAATCCCAGCTACTCAAGAGGCTGAGGCAGGAGAATTGCTTGAACCAAAGAGGTGGAGATTGCAGTGAGCCAAGATCGTGCCATTGTACTCCATCCAGCCTGGGGAATAAGAGCAAGACTTCATCTCAAAAAAAGACCAAAGAACAATTGCCCTCAACCTATATACTCCCAACTACTGCACTGACAATCTCAAGGAAAGTAGGATTTGGGAATGTACCTTTGAAATCAGAGAATCAGAAGATACACTCATTCTGATTTGGGAACCTGAGGCAATTAGAGTTTCTGAGATTCTTGTTAACTAGGTCTTAAGCAGTATATGCCATTTTTTAAAATCATCTTATAAAAATAAGCATGATGCTTTTAAGGCTAACCCTAGAATGACCTAAGTTATCTAGTAAATAGGATTAGGAGTAAGAGAAGCCAATGTGGGAGATTCAGATTTCAAAGTAATTTCTAGACTCTTTTTTTTTTCTTTGAGACAGAGTCTCACTCTGTTGCTAGGCTGGAGTGCAGTGGCATGACCTCAACTCACTACAACCTCTGCCTCCCAGGTTCAACAATTCTCCTGCCTCAGCCTCCCAAGTAGCTGGGACTACAGGCTTGCACCGTCACACCCAGCTAATTTTATTTTTAGTAGAGATGGGGTTTCACCATGTTTGCCAGGATAGTCTCAATTTCTTGACTTTGTGATCCACCTGTCTTGGCCTCCCAAAATGCTGGGATTACAGGAGTGAGGCACTGTGCCCAGCCTCTAGACTCTTTTTGAGTTAAGATGCTGGATAAAACTCTGGTAAGTGCCGGGCGCGGTGGCTCACGCCTGTAATCCCAGCATTTTGGGAGGCTGAGGCAGGCAGATCACGAGGTCAACAGATTGAGACCATCTTGGCCATGGTGAAACCCCATCTCTACTAAAAATACAAAAATTAGCCAGGCGTGGTGGCACACGCCTGTGGTCCCAGCTACTCGGGAGGCTGAGGCGGAAGAATCACCCCCTCTGGTAAGTAAATGCAAGTTCAATATATTTGATTCTGGAGGTTTAATCCTTTTCTATAAGGCTGTAGACATTATGCTTGCCACTATTCATTCCCTCAAATCATCCAATAATTAATAGTTCCCCCCCTTTTTTTTTTTGAGATGGAGTCTCGTTGTTGTCAGACTGGAATGCAGTGGCAAGATCTTGGCTCACTGCAACCTCCACCTCCCGGGTTCAAGCGATTCTCCTGCCTCAGCCCCACCGAGTAGCTGAGATTACAGGCGTGCACCACCATGTCCAGCTAATTTTTGTACTTTTAGTAGAGACGGGGTTTTACCATGTTCGCCAGGCTAGTCTCAAACTCCTGACCTCAGGTGATCTACCTGCCTCAGCCTTCCAAAGTGCTGGGATTACAGATGTGAACCACCACACCCAGCTTTTTTTTTTTTCTTTCCCTTTCGAGACAGGGTCTCACTCTGTCACCCATGATGGAGTCCAGTGGCCCAATCACAGCTCACTGCAGCCTTGACCTGCTAGGCTGAAGTGATCCTCCCACCTCAGCCTTCTGAGTAACCAGGACTATCCGCATGTGCCACCATGCCTGGTTGATTTTTTTATTTTTTGTAGAGACAGGCTCTTACTATGTTGCCCAAGTTGGACTCAAGTGACCCTCCCGACTTGGCCTCCAACAACCAACTTAAACACTTAATGATCACAGATCACTAGCTGTCTACTTAACAGGTTTTTTTGTCTCAGTTGCTATTGGCGCATGGATGCTTGTTTTTTTTTTTTTTTTGAGACAGGGTCTCACTCTGTTGCCCAGGCTGGAGTGTAGTGGTACTCGCTGCATTCTCAAACTCTTGGCCCCAAGAGATCCTCCCGCCTCTGCCTCTTGAGTAGCTAGCTGGGAGTACAGGTGCACACCACTGTGCCTGGCTAATTTTTGAATTTTTTGTAGAGGTGGGAGTCTTGCTCTGCTGCCCAGGCTGGTCTTGCACTCCCATGTTAAAGTGATCCTGCTGCCTTAGCCACCCAAAATGTTGGGATTACAGGTGTTAGCCACCATGCCTGGCCAGGACATGGATGCCTTTTGAACAGGGCACCCTTGATCACTAGAATAAGCACTCAATTTCTCAACAGGTTAAAGCTGAGTTGCTAAAATCAACTAAGTTTTGGTGAGGAAATAGGAGGACAGAAAGATCAGAATGACTATCTTATGAACTATTAAATTTGTCTAGATTGCTGGTCACCAACACAGCAAGCTGAGAAGGTAGAAATACAGAAAAAGAAGTGACTAGAGGGAGAAAAGAACCTGATCCCACGTATCAGGAGTAATGGTTAGGCCTGAATAAAGTTTCTGAATTCACTTTTAAAGTGTGATTTACTTACCATTTCTATATTCTTTTGTGCCTCCACCTCTATGATTAACATGGGTAATTTTGTGTGGGCAGATCACTTGAGGCCAAAAGTTTGAGACCAGCCTGGCCAACACGGTGAAATCCTGTCTCTACTAAAAATTCAAAAATTAGCAGGGTATGGTGGTACGCTCCTGTAATACCAGCTAATCAGGAGGCTGAGACACAGAATTGCTTTAACCTGGGAGATGGAGGTTGCAATGAGCTGAGATTGTACCGCTGCACTTCAGCCTGGGCAACAGAGCAAGACTCCACCTCAAAAACATTAAAAAATAAAATAAAAAGTAAAACATCGGTAAATTTGGAATCTGAAAGATTTTTCATTCAGAAGCTCTATTTTGGTCCTGGCTGGATATACACATTATGTCTATTACATATTACAGATTATGTCTAAGGTAAGGAAATTTCCTTGCTCAAATGAGTGCCATTTACTGCTTAGGAACAGCCCAGTAGCAGGACAAAAACAGACATTACTGGATGAAGATTTGGGAATTGTGTGCCATTTATCAGGAAGTTACATCTGAGAACAACTTTAAATGATATTTTATTCCCAGATATAAACATACCCATATTAGGTAGATAGCACAGATAAGGCAAAGCCAAAGTCTCTCTCTTTCCTTTTCTTTCTTTTCGAGTCTGAGTCTCGCACTGTCGCCCAGGATGCAGTGCAATGATGCAATCTTGGCTCACTGTAACCTCTGCCTCCCAGGTTCAAGCGATTCTCCTGCCTCAACCTCCCAAGTAGCTGGGACTACAGGCACCTGCCATCACACAGAGCTAATTTTTTGTATTGAGAGATGGAGTTTCACTTTGTTGGCCAGGCTGGTCTCAAACTCCTGACCTCATGATCTGCCCACCTTGGCCTCCCAAAGTGCTGGGATTACAGGTGTGAGCACTGTGCCTGGCCTATTTTCTTATATATATATTTATTTTTTGAGACAGGGTCTTACTCTGTCACCCAGGCTGAAGTGCAGTGGCAAAACTGTGGTTCACTACAGTCTCGATCTCCTAGGCTCAAGTGATCCTCCCACCTCAGCCTCCCAAGTAGTTAATTTTTAAATTTTTTTAGATAAGGGGTCTTCCTATGTTGCCCAGGCTGGTCTTAAATTTCTAGGCTCAAGTGATTCTCCTGCCTTGGCCTCCCAAAGTGCTGCGATAACAGGCTTAAGCCACGACGTTTGGCCCCAAGTAAAGCCTCATTCCTTTTTTTTTTTTTTTTTTTTGAGATGGAGTCTAGCTCTGTCACTCAGGCTGGAGTGCAGTGGCATGATCTCAGCTCTCTGCAACCTCTGCCTCCCAAGTTTAAACGGTTCTCCTGCCTCAGCCTCTCGAGTAGCTGGGATTACAGGCACATGCCACCATGCCTGGCTAATTTTTGCATTTTTAGTAGAGATGAGGTTTCACAATGTTGGCCAGGCTGGTCTCTAACTGCTGACCTCAGGTGATCCCCCTGCCTTGGCCTCCCAAAGTGCTCGGATTACAGGCGTGAGCCACCATGCTCAACCTCATTCCTCAATATTTAAACTAATGAGCTAGGATTCTGGCCTCATTTGTTAAATATTCCAAGAGAGAAATTAATTTGCCCTTTTCCTAAACATAGATATAATTTACAATAGTTGGGGTATATAAGTATGAAATCCTACCTCTTAGAGATTTATTATTAAAAGCCCCATTTGTTGCGGACATCACTTGTGACTTAGTCTGGCATATTCCCAGAAGCTACAAAGTTCCTAATCCTTATCCCAGTAGCAAAAACAACTAAGCAGAGAACTGCTGTCTCTCTCTAGAATTCCACATTAGTAGTGTTGGTTTCATACATACCTTATTTCACAGGTATCATAACTTGCCCAACTGATGGCAAAATAAAATATTTAGGCAATTATGACATGGCTATCAGGTCAAGAACTTCCTTCCTTCTGCTTTCAAATTCTTTCCTCATTTTTTCTTGGTAGAGATGAGGTGCACTATGTTGCCCAGGCTGATTGAACTCTTGCACTCAAGAATGCTGGGATTACAGGTATATACCACTGCACCCAGCCCTGTCCTTCTTTTTATCACAATCAAAGAAATTATGGTTCTCCTTGCTGGGAACCTATCAGATTTGTTTTGTTTTGAGACAGGGTCTTGCTCTGTTGCCCAGGCTGGAGTCCAGGGGTGCAATCTCTGCTCACTGCAACCTCTGCCTCCCAGGTTCAAGCGATTTGCCTGCCTCGGTCCTCCGAGTAGCTGGAATTACAAGTGCCCACCACGATGTCTGGCTAAGTTTTGTATTTTTAGTAGAGACAAGGTTTCACCATGTTGGCCAAGCTGGTCTCAAACTCCTGACCTCAGATGATTCTGCTGCCTCAGCCTCCCAAAAGTGCTGGGATTACACGTGTTAGCCACTGTGCCCAGCCAGTTTTGTTCATTTTCATAGAACATCTTGGGGCTAAGTGGAAATAACTGTCAGTATATTGGAGTCCCACGCTTCCAAAGGACTGTATTTCAAAAGATCATCTCATGCTGGGTAGTGGCCAATGCCTAACAGTCCCAGCTACTCAGGAAGCCAAGTGGGGAAGACTGCTTGAGTCCAGGAATTTGAGGAAATGGTGCACTATGACAGTGCTTGTGAATTGCCAATACACATCAGCCTGGGCAACCTAGCAATACCTGATCTCTTTAAAAAATCTTTAAAAATCACCCCAAACTAACATTTCTTTAAAAATTGCTGGGTTTTCAGGAAGTCTGACTTTTTAACATATAATGTATCTGCAATGTACAATTCAAATAGCACTAATAAAATCTTACCAAAATGTCTACAGAAGGAGCAGGACTGAAAACAGAAAAAAAAAATGTGTTAACAATATTTCTAAGAAAACTGTTAGGGTGGGGCCGGGCATGGTGGCTCATACCTGTAATCCCAGCACTTTGGGAGGCTGAGGCAAGGGATCACCTGAGGTCAAGAGTTTGATACCAGCCTGGCCAACATGGTAAAACCCCATAACTACTAAAAATACAAAGTTAGCTGTACACGGTGGCACATGCCTGTAATCCCAGCTACTCAGGAGACTGAGGCAGGAGAATCACTTGAACCCAGGAGATGGAGGTTGTGGTGAGCCGAGATCATGCCATTGTACTCTGTGTACTGGGGAACAAGAGCAAAACTCCGTCTCAAAGGAAAAAAAAAAAGAAGACGAAAAATGTTGGGCTGGGCATGGTGGTTCATGCCTGATCCCAGCACTTTAGGAGGCCGAGAGAGGCACATCACAGATCACAGGAGTTAAGAGACCAGCCTGGGCTGACACAGTGAAACCTCGTCTCTACTAAAAACACACAAAAAATTAGCCAGGTATGGTGGTACATGTCTGTAGTCCCAGCTACTTGATAGGATGCAGCAGGAGGATTGCTTGAGCCTGGGAGATGGAGGTGGCAATGAGTGGAGATCATGCCACTGCACTCCAGCCAGGGTCACAGAGAGACCTTGTCAGGAAAGAGAGAGGAATAGGGAAGGAAAGCAAAGAAAAATACACTTAAGAGTTTCAATTTGGGATGTGAAGAGTCTACCTAACATTTCTGTAACTCTTTCTCCCCAATGAAGTAGGATAAATTACTTTCTCCAGAAGGTAAGGGTGATTATAAGCAAGTAGGTTGCTCAGGTTCATGATCTCATTCACCCACTACCTTTTCTTTCAAACAATCTAGAGATGAATCTACTTAATATTCTGCTGGCACTACCTATATAACTTACAAGAATTTTTCTCCTCTTCCAGGACCTCTAGGGAGTCTGCCTGAGGTTTTCTACGAGTTTTTGGTTTGCTTGTTTGTTTTGTAAATTGAGATGGAGTCTTGCTCAGTTGCCCACGATGGAGTGCAGTGGCGAGATCTCCACTCACCGCAACCTCTGCTGCCCAGGTTTGAGCAATTCTCAAGCCTCAGCTTCCCAGTAGCTGGGAACACAGGCACACGCCACCACACCTGGCTAATTTTTTCATATTTTCAGTAGAAATGGGGTTTCACCATGTTGGCCAGGCTGGTCTCAATTCCTGACCTCAGGTGATCCACCCACCTCGGCCTCCCAAAGTGCTAGGATTACAGGCGTGAGCCACCACTTCCTAAGAGTTTTTAATATTATTACCAAGAATAATGTTCACTTGGGCTGGGTGCGGTGGCTCAAGCCTGTAATCCCAGCACTTTGGAAGGCCAAGGCAGGTGGATCACGAGGTCAAGAGATCAAGACCATCCTGGTCAACGTGGTGAAACCCCGTCTCTACTAAAGATACAAAAAATTAGCTGGGCATGGTGGCGCGTGCCTGTAATCCCAGCTACTCAGGAGGCTGAGGCAGGAGAATTGCCTGAACCCAGGGGGCGGAGGTAGTGGTGAGCCGAGATCGCGCCATTGCACTCCAGCCTGGGTAACAAGAGCAAAACTCCGTCTCAAAAAAAAACAAAAGAATAATGTTAATTTGTAAAGCGTGGTTTTAAAAAAAACAAAACCAGTAAGTAGACATTAAAAGGTAGAAAAAGTTAACACATGTAAGGTTATAACCATTCCTTTCTTCATTCTCCATCAGTACAGCTTCTTAAGAGATTCTGCTTTGGATCAGTCCTACGACAAACTCAGCAAAGTCATTTGGCGGGCAACTGAACGCTGAAGAATAATTCACACGGCTATCAGTTGTTTCTTTTTTTTCTTTAGATGGAGTTTTGCTGTTGTTACCCAGACTGGAGTGCAATGGCATAATCTCGGCTCACTGCAACCTCTGCCTTCTGGACTCAAGCAATTCTCCTGCCTCAGCCTCCCAAGTAGCTGGGACTACAGGTGCGCACCACCATGCCCAGCTAATTTTTGTACTTTTTTTTTTTTTTTTTTTTAGTAGAGACGGGGTTTCACCTTTTTGATCAGGATGGTCTTGATCTCTTGACCTCGTGATCCACCCGCCTCGGCCTCCCAAAGTGCTGAGATTATAGGCGTGAGCCACCGTGCCCAGCTGAGTTGTTTCTAAACTATTTATAAACTGAATGTTTTAAAAACTAGGGTTGGCCGGGTACAGTGGCTCATGCCTATAATCCTAGCACTTTAAGAGGCCAAGGTAGGCAGATCACCTGAGGTCAGGAGTTCAAGACCAGCCTGGCCAACATGGTGATACCCCATCTCTACCTAAAATATAGAATTAGCTAGGCATGGTGGCACTCGCCTGTAATCCTAGCTACTCAGGAGGCTGAGGCAAGAGAATCATTGAACCTGGGAGGTTCCAGCACTTTGGGAGGCCAATGTGGGAAGATCGCTTGAGACCAGGGAATTTTGAGACCAGCCTGGGCAACATTGTGAGACACTGTCTCTACAAAAGCATTTAAAAATTAGCTGGGTGTGTTGGTGCATTCTAGCTACTTGGGAGGCTAGGGCAGGAAGATAATTTGAGCCTGCAAGTTGGGGGTTACAAGGAGCTATGATCATGCCACTGTACTCAAGACTTTGTGACAAAGTGAGACCCTATCTTTAAAAAAAAAAAAAAAAAACTGGCTGGTTGCCGTGGCCTATGCCTGTAATCACAGCACTTTGGGAGGCTGAGGAAGGACTATCACTTGAGCTCATGAATTCGAGACCAGCCTGGGTAATATGGTAAAAACCTGTTTCTACAAAAAATACAAAAATTACACAGGCATGGTGGGATGTGCCTATAGACCCACCTACTCAGGGAGGTGGGGTGTGGGTTGGGGTTGAGATGGGAAGATTGCTTGAATCTAGGAGGTCAAGGCTATAGTGAGCTGGGATCACACCAGTCACTACATTTCCAGCCTGGGCAACAGATCGAGACCCTGCCTCAAAAACAAAACAAAACAACAACAAAACCCATTAAAGAAAACAAACAAAAAAAACCCTCCAAAATAGGGTTGTCTATACTATGATTCACTGCACAGGTAGAATCAACCACTGGCCAGTCCCAGGTACCTCTCCTTAGTGTGTGCCCTACAGTTTCAAGTACTCGACCTTGAGAGACACCAGAAACATAGGCCTGGGAAAACATGTTTGCATGTATGAGTCAAAGAGAGAGTAACATATATGTGCAAACGAATATATATGTATATAGGAAAGCTGGGAGAAGGGGGTACAGATGCAGCAAGAATGCAGAGACTTACCCACATGAAGATAATTTGCTTTCTGACACAAGAAAAGACAGGCCCAAGCTTTTGGATGTAATAAAAGCTGGGACTCCACAATAAATAGATCCTAAAACTCCTGGAATTATCTGACAAAAAGACTATTTTTTTTTCCTCCTAAGATGGCCATGAAGATCAGAGTGAAGGTATATATTAACTCACTTCCATTTGGCCTATCAGCTCTCTAGTGCCCCTTTAATCCAGAAATGACCATTTTTCTCTTAAGACTAAGAACTACAATTATCTGTAGACTAAGCAGTTTTTGAGGCACCTGGTTTCATTTAGAAATAAAATGAATTTATGGTCAAACTCGATGATACAGACAAATCTTCTTTTAAGAATCTTTAGGATGAAAAACACCCTCCTCTCATTGGAATTCATTTCATTTTCACAGGCTTTATGAGACGACCCTATCCCTGGAGGTAGTTGAGCTGAGCCATACCTCCGTCTAGCACTCATATCCACAGGCTCATCATTGATGTTTTCTTTGCCTGGCCTTCCAGCAGTCCTGTTGTCTCCATGAGGCCTGAGGTTCCCATTAAGTTTTTCTTCATAGCCCTTGACACCACTGCCATCCTGTTTGGTGGGTAACTCATGTGGCACCTCAAGATTTGCCAAATCCTTCCTTTTGAGTAATGCCAACATTTTCAGACGTTCCATGGCCTCATGCCCCTCCATTTTGAGTCGCTTTGCCAGGACATCATCTCGCTCATCTGCTGGGTCCAAGCTCCGCTTCAACAGATTCAAGCGAAGAGCATCTTCTGTCATTCTATCCATCCTATGGAAAGAAAAATACAAGTAAGATCAAAATAAAGTCCCTTAAATAGCCCATTTTTAAAAAGGTGGGATGGTAAAGTTATTAAGAATCACACGTGCACATGCATCCACGTGCACACACGTTCCACATTAATTAAGCTAATGTCCTATCCGATATTGTCTTAGAACATTTATATTAAAGGAGATTTCTCCATTCAACCTCAGTAATTTAAGTAAACTTAAATTTACATAAGCAAAGCCTGTTGATATCTGCCCTTAATTCTGTATGAATACAGATTCAAAATCTTTTTTTTTTTTAACTTTTATTTTACTTTCAAGGGTACATGTGCAGGCTTGTTATACAGGTAAACTGAATGTTATGGTGGGTTTGCAGATTCAAAATCTGAAGACACTTACAATGCTTTTTTAAGTGAAGCACTTGGGTGCTTAGCATAAGAAGCAACATTTTCTTCACTCATGAAGCAAACTTGCTAAAGATAAGCTAATCATTATCCTCCCTTTTCACTTTGATTTTTTTTTATACTAACAAAATCTAAACGCAGGCCAGGCATAGTGGCTTAACTTGGATTCCTAGCTCCTCCAGAGGCCAATGTGGGAGGACTGCTTGAGCCCAGGAGTTCAAGACCAACCTGGGCAACATGATGAGACCCCATCTCTACAAAAAAATTAAAAATTTGTCAGGCATGATGGCACATGCCTGTAGTCCCAGCTACTTGGGAGGCTAAAGTGGGAGGATTGCTTGAGCCCAGGAGGTCGAGGCTGCAGTGAGCCTGACTGTACCACTGAACTTCAACTGGAGTGATAGAGCGAGGCTCTGTCTCCAAGAAAAAAAAAAAATCTAAATGCAGATTTAGATTTAGATTTTCTCCAACACTGTCAAATCCAGGGTTGTCCTGGTAGGAAATGGTAATGATAAAGTAGTAAGAACATCTTTTAAGTCACAGAAACACAGGTTAAAATTGCTACTTATGTTAACCAGGTCAAATATTTAATATGCTATTTTACCTTCCCAAGTTTCAAATTCATTTGTAAAAATGAAGTGCTTAAAAAGTTTTTCTATTCCCTAAGAGTGTGAGTTCCATACCAAAGGCATGAGAGCAGGTCCAACAATTCATAGACTCAAGTTATTGAACAGAAAAGACTACCAACATTAATTGATACTCTTACACACAAAAAATTGTATGTGCTTGAATAAAATAAGGGGTATTATGATTCTTTTCCTGGCCAGGCATGGTGGCCCATGCCTGTAATCCCAGCACTTTGGGAGGCCAAGGTGGGTGGATCACCTAAAGTAAGGAGTTCGAGACCAGCCTGGCCAACATGGTAAAACACCCTATCTACTAAAAATACAAAAATGAGCTGGGCGTGGTGGCAGGCGCCTATAATCCCGGCTACTCGGGAGGCCAAGGCAGGAGAATCACTTGGACACAGGAGGCAGAGGCTACAGTGAGCTGAGATTTCACCACTGCACTCCAGCCTGGGTAACAGGGAGGGACTCCATCTCAACAAATAAGGAATAAGTAAATAAAAAAGATTTGGCTGGCCACGGTGGCTCATGCCTGTAATCCCAGCACTTTGAGAGGCCAAGGAGGGCAGATCACGTGAGGCCAGGAGTTTGAGACCAGCTTGGGCAACATAGTGAAATTTCACCTCTACTGAAAATACAAAGAATTAGCCAGGTGTGGTGGCAGGCACCTGTAATCCCAGCTACCTAGGAGGCAGGAGAATTGCTGGAACCTGAGAGGTGGAGGTTGCAGTGAGCAGAGATTGCACCACTGCACTCCATCAAGCCTGGACGACTGAGTGAGACACCATCTCAAAATAAATAAATAAAGATTCTTTTTCAGTTACAATGAAGAAAGAGAATAAACAAAAGGAAACAGGGGCCAGATGAGGTGGCTCATGCTTGTAATCCCAGTACTTTGGGAGGCCGAGGCAGGTGAATCACTTGAGGTCAGGAGTTGGAGACCAGCCTGGCCAACATGGTGAAACCCTGTCTCCACTAAAAATAACAATATTAGTCAGGTATGATGGCACAGGCCTGTAGTCCCAGTGACCTGGGAGGCTGAGGCATGAGAATCACTTGAACCAGAGGTGGAGGTTGCAGTGTGCCACGATTGCATCACTGTTTTCCAGGCTGGGTGACAGAGTGAGACTGTCTTAAAACAAAAACAAAACAAAACCAAGAAAGGAAACACACACCCTTTATTAAATTTGTTTTTATTTTTAAATTAATTAATTAATTTGTTTGTTTGTTTTGAGACGGAGTTTCGCTCGTTACCCAGGCTGGAGTGCAATGGCGCGATCTCGGCTCACAGCAACCTCTGCCTCCTGGGTTCAGGCAATTCTCCTGCCTCAGCCTCCTGAGTAGCTGGGATTACAGGCACGCGCCACCATGCCCAGCTAATTTTTTGTATTTGTAATAGAGACAGGGTTTCACCATGTTGACCAGGATGGTCTCGATCTCTTGACCTCGTGATCCATCCACCTCGGCCTCCCAAAGTGCTGGGATTACAAGCGTGAGCCACCGCGCCCGGCCCACCCAATTTACTTCTAAAAAAATCTTCAGATGGAGTGACTAGAAACTTAAATGCTACAGAACACCGAAAGATAAGCCCTAACTCTATAGTAACAATGTCTTTAGTATTTCAATCAACACTATATAACTGAGAGTAGTAACTGGGCACACCATGGTGAGTTGGGGAGGGCAGAAAAAGTCTGCCACTCAACTGATTATACAGCTAAATGCAAAACGTATAGCCATGCCTCATTTTATTGCATTTTGCTTTATTGTGCTTTGCAGATACTGTGTTTAAAAAAAAAAAAAACACAAGGCTGTGCGCAGTGGCTCACGCCTGTAATCCCAGCACTTTAGGAAGCTGAGGCACGGGGACCACTTGAGGTCAGGAGTTTGAGACCAGCCTGGCCAAAATGGTGAAACACTGTTTGGTGTTGTGGCACATGCCTATAATCCCAGCTATTTGGGAGGCTGAGGCAGGTGGATCATTTGAACCCAGGAGGCAGAGGTTTCAGTGAGCTGAAATTACACTACTGCACTCCAGCCTGGGTGACAAGAGCGAGACTGTCTCAAAAGACAAAAATCAAACCAAAGGTTTGTGGTAACCCTGTAATGAACAAGCCTAATGGTACCATTTTTCCAACAGCATGTCCTCACTTTGTCTCTGTGTCACATTTTGGTAATTCTTAACAGTATTTCAAACTTTTTCATCATTATTATATCCATTATGATAATCAGCGATCAATGATCTTTGATGTTACTATTTTGTTTTGGGGCACCATGAACTGTACTCAGAAGACGGCAAACTTAATCAGCAAATGCTGTGTGTGTTCTGACTGTTCCACAGACTGGCTGTTCTCCCATTTCTCTCTTTCAGTTGAATATCTAAGTGTTGAACATCTAAGTATTCAACTGAAAGGTGGAGTCACGTCTCTCACTTTAAAAAGCTAGAAATAATTAAGCTTAGTGAGGAAGGCATACTGAAAACCAAGATGGGCTGAAAGCTAGGCCTCTTGCTTTTAACGGTTAGTTGAGTTGTGAATGAGATTATGGAGAAAGTTTTAGTGCACTGGCAAGAAGATCAAACCAGCCACAACATTCCCTTAAGCCAAAGCCTAATCCAGAGTCAGGTCCTAATTCTCTTCAATTCTGTGAAGGCTGGGAGAGATGAGGAAGCTGCAGAAGAAAAGCTGGAAAACTAGCAGAGGCTGGTTCATGAGGTTTAAGAAGTCATGCCGTAAGGCTGGGCACGGTGGCTCAAGCCTGTAATCCCAGCACTTTGGGAGGCCGAGGCAGGTGGATCACGAGGTCAAGAGATCGAGACCATCCAGGTCAACATGGTGAAACCCCGTCTCTACTAAATATACAAAAATGAACTGGGCATAGTGGCCTGTAATCCCAGCTACTCAGGAGGCTGAGGCAGGAGAATTGCCTGAACCCAGGAGGTGGAGGTTGTGGTGAGCAGAGATCGCACCATTGCACTCCAGCCTGGGTAACAAGAGCAAAAACTGTGCCTCAAAAAAAAAAAAAAAAAAAAAAGTCATGCCGTAACACAAAAGTACAAGGTATAGCAGTAGCCGAGTCCTGACGCAGAAGCTAATATAAGTTATCCAGAAGATCTAGCTGAGATAACCCACAAAGGTGACATATTAACAGGTTTTTTCCCTTTTTTTATTTTCTAATTTTTATTTTAGATTTAAGGGTTATTCCATGGATATACTGCATAATGCTGGGGTTTGGGCTTCTATTGAACCCATCACCCAAAGAGCAAACATAGTACCCAATGGGTAGTTTTTCAACCCTTAACCCTCACTTCATTCCCTGTTTTCGAGTGCTCAGTGTCTACTGTTTTCATCTATAAGTCCATGTGAACAGTACATTTCTTTTTTTCCTTTTTTTTTTTTTTTTTTTTTTGGAGACAGAGCAAGACTCTGTCTCCTAAGCTGGAGTGCAGTGACGTGATCTCCGCTCACTGCAACTTCTACCTCCTGGGTTCGAGCAATTCTCCTGCCTCAGCCTCCCAAGTAGCTGGGCCTACAGGTATCTGCCAATACGCCCAGCTAATTTTTGTATTAGTACAGGTGGGGTTTTACTATATTGGCAAGGTTGGTCTCTTCTGACCTCATATGACCCACCTACCTAGGCCTCCCAAAGTGCTGGGATTACAGGCATGAGCCACCACACACGGCCAGTACATTTTCAATGTAGATAAAATAGCCTTCTACCAGAATACTTTCATAGTTAGAGAGGAGATGTCAATACCGGGCTCCAAAGCTTCAAAAGAAAGGCTCTTTTTTTTTTTTGAGACGGAGTTTTGCTCACCCAGGCTGGAGTGCAATGGCGTGATCTCGGCTCACCGCAACCTCCGCCTCCTGGGTTCAGGCAATTCTGCCTCAGCCTCCTGAGTAGCTGACATTACAGGCACGCACCACCATGCCCAGCTAATTTTTTCTATTTTTTAGTAGAGACGGGGTTTCACCAAG